GGAGCCATGCTGACAAGCACACCAAAAACCTTCCAAAGGCCACAAAACACACCACAAGCCTGACCGAACATCTCCTTGCTACCTCGATCTCGCCCACAGGAAGCCACGACCGCGTGGCAGCAGGGCAAATGGCCGCGGATCCGGTTCGTAGCTCGAGGCGGAGTTCGCATATCGAGGTAAATTTTTGGGGCCGGAGCTGGTCGTATCTTGAAAAATTCGTAAGGAGGGTCGTTCATAACTAGAGGTACCACTGTATCTGTGGAATTTAAGCATCAACATTTCACAATATTACAATAAATTCATATGCTTCCTTGGACTATGTTTTCTCAGTTAGTACCTCCTTAATGAGTTAATACCTACTCAGGTATGGCTGAGTTTATACCACATTTGAAATTCTACATTTCCTGTGTTCACATAACTAGTGATGCTCCCAAAATAACCCACAGAACACCTTAACCCAAAGGTCTTCTTCACCCAACACGCTAAGATAATGGCTGGGTTCTTGCAATATCCTGAATGTACTTTACCCCTCACCCATTTCCTTATACTAACATGTTGTACAAAGCCTGCCTCTATCAACATCTATGGTTCTGAAAGTAAATCCCTGAAATGTCCTTTAAAAATAGATTAATTCAGCTAACTGCAGGATTCTAACCTGGACAGGCACGTTGCTATGGGAATATACAGTAAACTTCTTGATGTTCTCTCTTTCAGCCATCTTTTTATTGCATGTCGAACAATTAGGCCATTTGGACTCTGGGCTGAATTGTCTTATGGGAAAGAAGAGGAGTGGTTATTTCTTTATTATTTTTTTTATATAGGCTGCTGTACTCTAAAAGACTGGCGGCTTACAATATAGCCGAATAAAATTGGTAAAACTAGTACTTAAGGTTGATAGAAGCCAGCCTCCCACCTGGGCATCCATTATCCAAGCACCAATTCTTACCATAAGAAATCAAAAATTAAAAGTCTGGGGGAAAGTTCTGTCTGAACCATCTTCCAAAACTCCAGGACCAGGATATTCCAAAGGAACAGAGCGATGGCAGCTATGGATCATCTTTAGATAGCAATGCATATGTCTTTACTAGTCCTGGTTTGTGGTAAGCCAACCCCATTGTATTTGGGGATCCTCTGCCTCATTCTGATAAATGGAGACAAGCTGGCCTAGATCCTACCCTGATAGTGTGTTTCTGTCCTATCTGGTAGAGTTCTTTTCTATGTCTTTTGCCAGTTGACCTGCAAGAAAATGTACCTGCACCAGAGGTGTTGCTCTAAGGCAAGGCTAAGCAACTTTGTTGCCATCAGATATTATAATCCTGTAAACTTTGATCAGAGACCAGCTGTCCATTACTCACGACACACAATTAATAAAAGATGCAAGGTGTGATGGAATGGGCTTATGAAGGCCAGGCTCAGGGAGATAAGCGTGTTCTTAGCCCTCAGCAGGAGCGTGGGAAGTTCAAGAAGATGAGGCTGGCACCTCCCTGAGGAATTCACGG